AATTGGTTTTTAGTAATAAATTTTGATAACACTATACAGTAAAAGTTTATAATTTAAGAATAACACTGCACTTTCTAACACATAAGTCCAAATTAATGTAATTGATATGTCCTTTTATGTGACTTGATATATAAATAAGAGATGATGTAGTAAATTATGATCAACACCACATAAAATGACAACATTTAAGAATTTATTTAAAAATAATATTACTCATATTTAAATAACATATTATCGGAATCATATGTGTTGAATATTTTTACAATACGTGAAATATTTAAATCATTTGCGCTTTTTAATGTTGTAAGGATGATCTAACTCCACCATGTATAGGAGTTAGGGGTGGAAAAAAATCGATAACCGAACCAGTTTGACTTTTTTTTAATGAACTGAAAAAACCAATCTTACAAAATTTGAATCGAAACCGAACTGAATTTATGCATGAACTGTTTTTAACCAAACGCTTAATCGGTTGGAACCGGTTTTAAAAAAAAAAAATTAATTTAACTTTTCCTTTTTCAAATTAGGTTCAATAGGATAAAGGAGCGTGATGTTAGGAAAAGAGAATCCACATGAAAAGGAATCAAATTCTATCCAATATGTAAAGTAATCAAACTTGAATCAAACAAGGAGGAGGAGAATAAAGTTTATTTGTGAATTGACCGAATTCTCGGGTTAGCTTCAAGTTCATTTTTCAAATTTCAATGAAAGAACTGGGCCAGAGGAGAGAGAAAACTAAGGCTCCATATTTCACTCTTGAATATTATTCTGGTTTTCTGATAAGTTAAACAGTAAAATTGACTTATTTTCACAATATTATTCAATTCTCTAAACCCTCTTAAATTTGTTAATTTAACTAAACACTTCCAATTTTTTTAGAAATTATAAAAACACCCCGACCACCTCGACGGTGATGGCCGGTTGTCCGTATTTAATGGGTGGGTTAGAAGGATTTTGTTAATTTTAATATTTTATTATAATGGGGTTTAGTAAATAAATAAATATAAGAGTATTTTTATATTTTAAATCCTATGTAATATCCAATAATTAACTTTTCAAAAAATTATTATAAAATTTATCATAATAATAAGCCGGACCTAAATTTTCGCAGAAAAAAATAAGTATAGAGAGAAGCAAATTCAAGACTTCAAGTTGACCTGAACAGAGGAAAAGACAAAATAGTAGGTATAATTTTGGAATGAGAACTGCTCCTCACCCAATAAGCAATCATTCGAAAACTCAGGAACAGCCAACATTCTACGGTTCTACACCAACATTCTGTTCGCAGCATAACTTCATGGAGCCTCAATCTTTTGACATCATTTACCTAACATTCTAAAGAATTTGACAATTCACCAATTGAGCAACAACTTCAACTGAAACAATTTTACCCTAAAAACAGAAATTGACCAAGAAAATGAAAGTAAATTAGAACCCAGAAATTGAATTAACCAAGAAATAAATTAAGCCAACAAAAAACACAGGCGGAAGCCAAAGACTACGATTGAACAAGATTTCGAAGATAAAGTAAAATAGAGAGGATGAGGATTGAAGAACTAAATAGCGTCACGGAATGAAGGACCGGCGTGCAGTGGTGACTAGTTGTGCAGTGTGGTGAAAGAGTGGGGGTGTTAGTGATATCGAAGATGATTCTAGGCAGGGTATTGGTGATAAGAAACTAAAGGTTAGGTAAAATTAGTTGACTAGATAGAAAATACAAAATAGAGTTAGGGTTTCTTTAAAAAAATGGTTATAAAACCGGTTTTGTAAGCCCCCCCAAATCGATAACTGAACCGAAAATGGTTTAGATATTTGCCAAACCGAAACGGTTTTAAAGAAAAAACTGATTTTTCGGTCTGGTTTTTTGGTTCAATTCGGTTTGCAGGGTTTTTTTTTTTCCACTGTATCGAGTTCCAACTTCCAAGGAAGAATGAGTAAAGATCCGAGGAGGTGGGAGAAGTAATTATAAAAATTATTGAAAAACAGAATTATTGTATAAAATAAAATGGAATGATATATGATAATTAACATCATAGTATTCTACATTTAGTTAACAAAGGAGTAATTATAATTCTAAATTATTAAGGTAAATCAATACCTCCAAATTAGCCATAGTCCAATATTGGGCTCGGGTCACTTGCACTTGAATTGCAGTTGGGCTTTCAAAACGATCCAACTAGAGGACGAAAGAGTTATTACGACAGTTATTTATTTTTTCATATTAAATTTAACTTATTATCCCACATCAATTATATCTTAGCCTTTTCCCCTTTTTTGCCAATTTTTTTTTTCAGTTAAATAAAAAAGCAATGAAAACTGTGAATCCATGTTTCTCATTTTGCATAATTAAGGATTTTTCATAATTTTTTGTGTTATCACATCATATTTTTCATTGAATCACGGTAGGAAAATTTTTAACCTGAGTTAGACTTTTTTGGCGTAAAAATAGAGCTATTTCAAAAAAAATTTTACTAAACCCCAAGGGATTGAACTGACGGTTAAATAGGTTTGTTCATTTCTTGAATTTTGAGTTCAAACCTCGAGGATACCTAATACAATGTTATCTGGTCTTTTGGGTTTGTAGGGTATTCAATGGACTCCAAGAATAGTTAAGTGCACGTAAACTTGCTCAGACACCCCGATACAAAAATAAAAATAAATATATTGATAATTTGATTGATTTATCACAAGCTTTGGAAAATTAATTAGCATTCAGATGATATTACCGGCTACCAAATTCATGATTTAATAATAATAATATTGACTTCTGCAAAACTATTTATTATCTTAAATTACGAAAATATTTTTCATAATACAATTGAGGGAAGCGTTTCTCCAAAGTCCAATTACAATTTATTATTTATTTCATATTATGTACCAAATTCGTTATTATATATATATATATAACAAAACATCATAAACATTTTAAATTACATATATATTATTTTTAAATATTTAAAATATTTTAGTTGGTCTCTCCATCAATTCAATTCCAACTCCTTATTGAACTGTGGTGATCTTTGGCAATAATTGAAGGCATGGACCCTATGCAGTGGTAAAAAGCAGGGAGTGTGATCGTGTGCCCAACAGTTTGTACGGTCTAATAATACGTTAGGTTTCAGCTTCTTGTCAGACAAGTTGGTGGCCCGCGTGGTGAACCGCAGGCGGCCGACAGCCCTAGCGAAACCCCTGTTACACCAAACTTCAGGTTGTTCTGTGTAAGGAATGTGCAGTTCATGAGACTCCATAATGGAGCGTGATTTGTATGTGTTAGGCATGGGATTGTACGTAGTCACATGACTCGATCAATTAACATGATTAGAATGCCCAATTTAACATTTTTTTTTTTTTTTTTTTGTTTTAGGGTGGATCGGAATGTCCGATAAGTTTATTGAATATTAACTGATCCCTATAATCTATTGAATACCTATAAATCTAATGACTTAGGAAGTTAAAAATGTGATACATGATCACTTAATGAGACTCGAAAACTTTTTAATTGTGTCTTAATATTTTTAATATTAATTAAGGTACAGCGCAAGAGGTTACTTTACCACAAGCTTACAATTTAACATGGTTCGATAGGATTTATTTTACAATCTACAAGAGAAATCTACTAAAAACGTGGGTTCAGTTTGATCTAGATGTTTATTTAAAAAAAAAAAAAAACAAATTATACAAAAATCTTATGAAAATGTGTCAATAGAAATGAGTTGAATTTTTTTTTTTTTTTCTAAACAGTTATAGATACAATCCTAAAAAACTAATATAAAATTAGAAAACGGTTTAAAAGTCATTTTTGTGGTTATTCTACTATTTTAATTCGAAAACAGTTTTTTCAAAATTATATCATACACATTTCAAAATATTAAAAATATTAAGATATAACTAAAAAGTTGAATCATATCTTAATTTATGAAAACTATTTGGCTCATAAATCAAACAAATTAAAGATTAAATGAATACTCTCAGCCTCCATGAAATTGCAATAGAAGTAAACTCGAAGAAAATCTAACTACCAAACTGAAGTTCAAGCCATGACAGCTATTGGCAGCATTAAACAGATAATGCAACAAATAAGTTGCACCTTTGTTAGAGCTTAAGTGATGTTGTGGGTCAAGTATTACAGAATACCAAAGCCAAACTGACCAAGTGATCTTGTATTGAACACCCCATGCTTGCAATGAGAGGGAGTTTTTCTAGTAGTGGTTGTGTTCAATCGACGTGCCTTGCACAATAGGGGCAATATTAGTACTTAAATACTATGGTCAGATCCTTAATATTATCTTGAGCATTTCAGCTAAGCAGTCACTTGAAAAAATTAAAGAACTCTGGCCAATCTACAAGTAGGGTATTATTAGCTGGACATAAATCCTCCCCACAACCCACATTATAACTGACAGTTAAATCTCTGGAAACAGAGAAGATCCAAGGATTATATGCCTAGATATTTATCCAACACGCTTGCCCCAGAGATGCTTGGGTTGTAATGCTATTAAGTATGCATTAATGAAAAATCAAAAACATAATGTTAGAATCAATGGGAAAAGGTGGATACCTGGGCATAAGAGAAAGATAAGGTTTAAGTGATTGTGCATGCTTTTCCATATGGCTAAGCATGAGCAATCAAGCATTAGATCAAATGATGCACTGCTGGCTCTCTATCAGATAATAACGACTCTCTACTTCAAAAGAGAATTACAGTAGCAAATAACAGTTATAATATAATAGAATGCCCAGAAAATCATTTAGCTCTGGAAATTAGTAATTTTGAAGTCTTGCATCTGAAAAATATGCATGACTTTTTTTTTTTTTTTTTTGGTGTGTGGGGGGTGGTGGGAAGGGGGGAGGTTTAGATTCTACATCCTTCTGGAATTGTCATGACATTTGTGGATCCCCTTCCTCATGCGCTGATAACTATTTTTACCAACTTGACTGGTCAAACAAGCAAAAAACATGCCAAACTAAAGAATGCCTAAGATACACCAATAAAACTTTACCTGCAAAATGCGAAGCTTCAATTCAGGTGTCATACATGTAGCACCTACATGGCGTCGTTCCCTACAAAGTGTGCAAAAGCTGTAGAAACACTTGGAGCATTGTGCATGTTGTTCTTCATCTTCAATGCAAGGTGTTTCACATCTTGGACAATATGCAACATCAGACATTGACTCAAGTGTTTTTTGTAACATTAAGGATTCCCAGCGCTCATACTCCTCATCACCAAGCAATCGCTTCAACAAACTGGGAGGAACCATACCTCCACATTTTGTTTCGGGACATTGGAGCTTGCCTATGCTGCGTTCAGAGACATGTATGTCAGAATAAGTCTTCAGGCATTTCCAGCAAAAGAAATGCTTACACGGCAGTCTGACAAAGTCGGTACCTGGTAAAATAGGAGAACTGATTTTATTAACTGCAAAGAAGTTTATTAATGGTGCATAGATATCGATATTTACACAAGAACAATTATATACAAACAATTTGGCTTACATGTAGATGATAAAAAAGATAGTTAGTGACTAGTAGAATCAAACACACAGAAGTTTACAGAACCATCTTTAAATCATTCAAAGAAATTTTTGAGAGGAAGTAGAATAAATTCAGAAAATGCTCAGACTGTACCACTCAAACCTCTAATGCTACAAACTTACAGAGGTTGAATCTTTTGTTTCTTATCTTAGTTGAAAGGAAGAATGTTTTTTCAAAAACAAAATTATACAGAAATATTCAAAGCCCTAACAAGCACCCAAGGAACAGCAAAACAGAAAGCAAGTTTGCCATTAATAGTCTTCAATTATAGTTACCTGCATACTCACTGAAACAGATGCAGCATTCATGAATGTTTTTGAGAAAGCTCTCATGGCATCTCTCATCATTGTAAGTCCTAATTGAAGGAACATCAACATCCGGTGATACACTCCTTGAAATTGCCCGCCTATCTCCAGCATGCATGACACCATAAGGACCGAGCATAATCTCATTATCAAACCCAACATATGAAAGAGAAGAATTTTGTAGCCAATCTGTCCATTGATATATAATTTCTTGTCCAGGTTGATCCCTCCATATTGAGTCCAGCATGGAGCAAAGCTTGGAAATCTTAGCAGAGTCCAACCACTGAACAGAAATGGTAAAGCATGGAGGGAGATGGCTTGGGTATGATTTAGGTAATAAACAAGTTAAAACAATGGGAGGAAGATACTGGACTTTAAAAGAGTAGGAAAAGTCATCTGAACTTTCAGTTTTCGCAAGAAGATGACTAGATGAATTTAGCTTTGCAGTTACAGTTAGTTCACCAAGGGCTTCAATACGTATATCAATCTACAAAAGGAAAAACATGTAAGACAATTTACTTCCTAACAAGATGCACAAATTTTAATGTTATTGGATAACAGAATTACCTGAAAAGATCGTAAGCCTCTTTTTCTATCAAGGATGAAGACATTTTCTCCATAAATAGACTCCATTGCAAGCAACTGAAAAACGAGTTAAGGATGAGAAAAAGACAGAAATTAAGAGTAGCATACTTTTCCTGCCTTAGATACAATAGCTAACGAACATGAAGGAACAAGAATAAACAAAAGTGGTAGAGGACTTTATTTCGAAATCCAATGATAATTGTATGAATCATTCCTCCAGAATGAATTGTCTCAGATGAAGAATTATTGAAAAGTTTTTGTTTGGTCATTAAATCACAGAATTCATTTTCGATTAGTTAGTGTATTGCATAGTGATATAATAGAGAGTCCAATGTAATTCTTCTTTTTGTCCCTTGTGGATGATCATTTTAAGATGTTTCTTTTCTGCTACTGGAAGAAGTCAATCTTGGCTTTTTCCTGAATTAAGGAGTTCATAATATATACATATAGTTGAATTAGTTGGCTCCAGATGGGGAATAAAAGAGAAAACGTGTAACATACCATAGAGTACTATTCAAATAAAATGAAATTTGCATAATGATAATTATACTTATGATTCAATTTATTCCCAAAAAAAATAAAAAATAATAAAAAATGTAAAAGAATGGAATTATAACATTTGCAGACAATTCTGTTTTAAGTTTTGTCAAATTCCTGTTTTCAAAATGTTTTATGATACTTAACACTAAATATATTTATGTCAAAATATTCATGTTCAGATGTATCCAGTTTGTAAAACAAACAAACTAAACACCTATTTTTCAACATCAGAAAATAAATAACTATCAGACTTGCACATTTACATCAATTCAATTTTCAATCCAATTCAAATCCATTCACCTTTTCGACAAAACAAACAAGCAAGCTTCCTAAAACCATAGGATACATCTCTTTACTCTTCCCATCACTTCTCTTCACTACTTCCTTTTCACATTTATTCTCTTATAACATTAACCACTAAACTAAAGCTACAATTTCATATAAGCTTAACAATTTACCTTCTAAACCAGCTTTCATATTCTTAAAATACATTTAAAAGGTTTTACAACAGCTACATGCACCATCAAAAGACAACTAAACTACAAGTTTTGAACAATAAACACAATCCAAATTCAATATTCTTATAATTACCTCGTCCTCCCAAATTCAATATTCTTATAATTACCTCGTCCTCCTGCAGTTGATCGTTGATCCTCAGCTGCTCATCATCCAATTCTGGCTCTTCCACACTTAAACTCAGCTCATTCAATATACTTTCCACGTCAACAGCTTCATTCTTCGACATCCTATCGCCTTCGTTACTTCTCTTTTCTTCTCTATCTGTTTTAACTTCCTCGCCAATATTCAAAGCATCCACCTCGTTTACCAACGAATTGTCTTCATTACTCAGCGAACCCAGTTCACTTTTCGAAGTTTCGAGCTCGGATTTCTTAACAAATCGGCGTTTGACCACGTGGGCGCGCCGGTTGCGCGATACCCATTTGGGATTTTCCTGTTTTTTCGGGGATTTTTGTGCAGTTTGTTCTGAAGTTTGGTCCTTATAGGTTAATGGAGACTCGAGATTGCGTTCTTCTTGTAGGGGAGGTGGTGGATCGTTGAGGGGTCTGAGAGTCCAAGTGTCGTCGTTTTGGAGAGAATTTTGTTGTCTTCCTCTTCTTCTGGTTCCTCTCATGGCTGGCGCTAACTGTGGAGGACGGTTGAATCCGTTTATGGGTTTTCAAAATTGAACCAAATTCATTATTTGAGGGCCATGGGTCGGATCCGATGTAAAATGGGTCAGGTATTAATTTAAGATTCTCCTGTATGATTTAAGAAAATCTATTGTTTTTTAAATCTAGAATTTAGAATATGAAAAAGAAATATTAATTAAAAGATTTACGCTAAGGATAAAAATTACGTTTGTTTTAATTTTTTTTCACTATCCCATCCTATTATTCTATCCAATTTGATCCAATGAAATAATTATTTTTCTATTCAACTCAAAATATTTAACAATTATTTTTTTAATAAAAGTTTATAAATTAACAAAAAGACCCTCACTCATCCCAAATCATTGTTACAGACCAACAGCCGCTGTCGCTGCTACCACCATCGGACGCCGATGCCGTGACAATGTACAACCAACTGAATCTAACCGTTTGTGCACCGATCTATCCAGTTCTAACTAGATCTACCATAAATCTGGTTAAAAATAGTCAGATTTACGATCAAAGATCTGGTCATTGATAGTCATATTTAGACGCCATAACCAAACAACGGCCAGATCTTGGGTCGTAGATTTTGCTGTTTCCAGTCAGATGGTGGATTTGGTTGGAAAATGCCAAATTAATTTATGACAGGCCAAATCTATCCTATTGTGCGTCATTCTGACGACTTCCAATCACCGTTCGGCGATGGTGGCCGGCTGTCGACAATAATTGGGTGGTGGGGATGCTTTTATAATTTATAAACTTTTATTATAGGGGGTGTTTATTAAATTAACAAATATAAGAGGTTAAAAATGAATCTATATATTTTCTAAAACAAATTCTCGTAACCATATTCTATTCCATTAAATAGTATTCTATTATAAAATATTATTCTAAAAAGTAAAACAAACGCAAGGTATATGGTAAAATATCAGTTAGGTCTATGAAGATCCATACTTGCACTCTTGTCAAAAAAAAAAAAAAAATTGGTTTTTAGTAATTAAATTTTGATAACACTATACAGTAAAAGTTTTATAATTTAAGAATAACACTGCACTTTCTAAACGATATCATGTCCAAATTAATGTGTAATTGATATGTCCTTTTATGTGACTTTGATATATAAATAAAGAGATGATGTAGTAAATTATAGATCAACACCACATAAAATGACACATCATTTAAGAATTTATTTAAAAAATATAATATTACTCATAATTTAAATAACATATTTATCATAATCATATGTATTGAATATATTTTACAATACGTGAAATATTTAAATCATTTGCGCTTTTTTAATGTTGTAAGGATGATCTAACTCCACCATGTATAGGAGTTAGGGGTGGAAAAAAATCGATTAACCGAACCAGTTTGACTTTTTTTTAATTGAACTGAAAAACCAATTCTTACAAAATTTGAATCGAAACCGAACTGAATTTATGCATGAACTGGTTTTTAACCAAACTGCTTAATCGGTTTTGAACCGGTTTTAAAAAAAAAAAATTAATTTTAACTCTTTCCTTTTTCAAATTAGGATTCAATAGGATAAAGGAGCGTGATGTTAGGAAAAGAGAATCCACATGAAAAAGGAATCAAATTCTATATCCAATATGTAAAGTAATCAAACTTTGAATCAAACAAGGAGGAGGAGAATAAAGTTTATTTGTGAATTGACCGAATTCTCGGCAGGTTAGCTTCAAGTTCATTTTTCAAATTTCAATGAAAGAACTGGGCCAGAGGAGAGAGAAAACTAAGGCTCCATTTATTTCACTCTTCCGAATATTATTCTGGTTTTTCTGATAAAGTTAAACAGTAAAATTGACTTATTTTCACAATATTATTCAATTTCTCTAAACCCTCTTAAATTTGTTAATTTAACTAAACACTTCCAATTTTTTTAGAAATTATAAAAACACCCCGACCACCCTCCGACGGTGATGGCCGGTTGTCCGTATTTAATGGGTGGGTTAGAAGTATTTTTGTTAACTTTTAATATTTTATTATAATGGTGTTTAGTAAATAAATAAATATAAAGAGTATTTTTATTAATTTTCAAATCCTATGTAATATCCACTAATTTAACTTTTTTCAAAATATTATTATAAAATTTATCATAATAATAAGCCGGACCCTAAATTTTCGCAGAAAAAAATAAGTATAAGAGAGAAGCAAATTCAAGACTTCAAGTTGACCTGAACAGAGGAAAAGACAAAATAGTAGGTATAATTTTGGAATGAGAACTGCTCCTCCACCCAATAAGCAATCATTCTGAAAACTCAGGAACAGCCCCAACATTCTACGGTTCTACCCAACATTCTGTTCGCAGCAATAACTTCATAGGAGCCTCAATCTTTTGACAATCATTCTACCTAACATTCTAAAAGAATTTGACAATTCACAAATTGAGCAACAACTTCAACTGAAACAATTTTTACCCTAAAAACAGAAATTGACCAAGAAAATGAAAGTAAATTAGAACCCCAGAAATTGAAATTAACCAAGAAATAAATTAAGCCAACAAAAAACACAGGCGGAAGCCAAAGACTACAGATTGAACAAGATTTCGAAGATAAAGTAAAATAAGAGAGGATGAGGATTGAAGAACTAAATAGCGTCACGGACTCTGAAGGACCGGCGTGCAGTGGTGACTAGTTGTGCAGTTGTGGTGAAAGAGTGGGGTTGTTAGTGAATATCGAAGATGATTCTAGTCATGGGTATTGGTGATAAGAAACTAAAGGTTAGGTAAAATTAGTTGACTTAGATAGAAAATACAAAATAGAGTTAGGGTTATCTTTAAAAAAATCGGTTTATAAAACCGGTTTTGTAAGCCCCCCCAAATCGATAACTGAACCGAAAATTTGGTTTAGATATTTGCCAAACCGAACCGGTTTTAAAGAAAAACTGATTTTTCGGTCTGGTTTTTTGGTTCAATTCGGTTTGCAGGGTTTTTTTTTCCACCTGTAATTCGAGTTCCAACTTCCAAGGAAGAATGAGTAAAGATCCGAGGAGGTGGGGAGAAGTAATTATAAAAATTATTGAAAAACAGAATTTATTGTATAAAAATAAAATGGAATGATATATGATAATTAACATCATAGTATTCTACATTTAGTTACAAAAGGAGTAATTTTATAATTCTAAATTATTAAGGTAAATCAATACCTCCAAATTAGCCATAGTCCAATATTGGGCTCGGGTTCACTTGCACTTGAATTGCAGTTGGGCTTTCAAAACGATCCAACTAGAGACGAAAGAGTTATTACGACAAGTATTTATTTATTTTTTCTATATTAAATTTAACTTATTTATCCTCACATACAACTTATATCTTAGCCTTTATCCCCTTTTTTGCCAATTTTTTTTTTCAGTTAAATATAAAAAAGCAATGAAAACATGTGAATCCATGTTTCTCATTTTGCATAATTAAGGATTTTTCATAATTTTTTTGTGTTATCACATCATATTTTTTCATTGAAATTCACGGTAGGATAAATTTTTAACCTGAGTTAGACTTTTTTGGCGTAAAAATAGAGCTATTTCAAAAATAAATTATTACTAAACCCCAAGGGATTGACCTGACGGTTAAATAGGTTTGTTTCATTTCTTGAATTTTTGAGTTCAAACCTCGAGGATACCTAATACAATGTTTATCTGGTCTTTTGGGTTTGTAGGGTATTCAATGGACTCCAAGAATTAGTTAAAGTGCACGTAAACTTGCTCAGACACCCCGATACAAAAAATAAAATAAAATATATTGATAATTTGATTGATTTATCACAAGCTTTTGGAAAATTAATTAGCATTCATGATGAATATTACCGGCTACCAAATTCATGATTTAATAATAATAATATTGACTTCTTGCACAACTTATTATTATCTTAAATTACGAAAATATTTTTCATAATACAATTGAGGGAAGCGTTTTCTCAAAGTCAAATTACTAATATTATTATTTATTTCATATTATGGTACCAAATTCGTTATTATATATATATATATAACAAAATCATCATAAACATTTTAAATTACATATATATATATTTTTAAATATTTAAAATATTTTAGTTTGGTCTCCTCCATCAATTCAATTCCAACTCCATTATTGAACTGTGGTGATCTTTGGCAATAATTGAAGGCATGGACCCTATGCAAGTGGTAAAAGCAGGGAGTGTGATCGTGTGCCCAACAGTTTTGTACGGTCTAATAATACGTTAGGTTTCAGCCTTCTTGTCAGACAAGTTGGCTGGCCCTGCGCTGGTGAACCGCAGGCGGCCGACAGCCCTAGCGAAACTCCTGTTACACCAAACTTCAGGTTGTTCTGCGTTAGGAATGTGCAGTTCATGAGACTCGATAATGGAGCGTGATTTGTTATGTGTTAGGACTTTGGGATTGTACGAACGAGTAATGCTACAGTCATCAAAGTAATACACCAAATTCGTATATCGAATGACGTAACAAAATCATGACTGTTGATTAATTTTAATTTAATATTAATTGACGGTCAAGATTTTACCACGTCATTTGATGTATGGATTCGGTGTATAACCTTCGGTGGCTGTATCATTTCCATTGTACGAAGTCACATGACTTGGCCAATCAGTGACAGATCCAGGAATTTCACTCGATGGGGGCAAAAAATAAACAAAAAAAATTTGTGGGGGCAAAAGTCAAAGTCTTATAGGGGATAAAATGCAACTAAATATAAATATTTATACAATCTGAAGTTTTTTAAAGTTTGAGTGGGGACCGTGGTCCCCACTCGTCATTAAGTAAATCCGTCACTGTGGCCAATTAACATGATTAGAATGCCCTATAATTTAACATTTTTTTTTTGTTTTATAGTGACCGGAATGTCTGAATAAGTTTACGAGAATATTAATTGATCCTCGAAATCTATTGAATATTATATAAACCTAATAACTCAAGTAAGTTAAAAACGTGATAAATGATCACGTAGTAGGTCTTGAAAACTTTTTAATTGTGTTTTAATATTTTTAATACTAGTTAAAGTACAGGCAAGAGACCACCTACCACAAG